GGGCCCCCGAGGCGAACGCATTGCGGGCAACGCGGCCCCCCGCAGTAGGCCTCAAACGGGCCAACCTGGACACGAACCCCGAAGTTTTGGCCTCACGTTTTCTGAGTTTAGGATTCCTTCCTTTGACGCGACGGGGTCGCCCAGCGCAGTCGTCCGCCCCGAGGTTCGGCGCAGACGAGACAAGCGGGCCAGCCGGCCCTTCAAGCTTAGCAGCCAGTTCTCGACCCAACGCTTTAGACGAACAGATGAGCGATCTCTTGCCCTCATCCTGACTAACTTTGGCACCCGCCCCGTCCTCCAAGACCGAGTACAACTGACGCGCGACAAGTGGCAAGCTGGAGACGATGTATTCCTTAGTCCCCGTGGCGCTGACTACCGAATCGTCAATGTACAGTTTAAAGTGGACCTGGGGGGGGATGACCAACTTATCGAGATGCACCATAACTTGCACTCTAATAGAACTCGCGGCGAACGTGCAACCCGCGATGATTCCCCCCTTGACCCAAAAGGGCCCGTCCACAAATCCGTTGAGGACAAAAAACCTAGCCTGGAGGTGCATCGCTATCGCCAGGCGAGCGATAGCAAGCGGGAAATGCAGCTGCCTAACATGCCACAGGAGCATCCTCAAGTTCATGGTCTCGTAAGACATATAGAGGTCGAGTAACGCCGTGGCCGCTTCCCCTTTAACAAGAGTGGACGTCTCACCGCGAACCGCCTGCCTCCAAACGACGTCCTGAGCCCCCTCGAAGGACCCCGCAGCGAAGTACTCCCTGGCATTGGCGAGCTCACACTCTTGGGCCAGCGGGCTGCGGACTTTCCCGTGCGCTCGGTGCAGGGCACAGGAATTCCCTATCGGTCGAAATCCCTAGCTCACCTTAGGGATGAGGGTGAGCAGAGTGACGGAGACCTGGACAGGGATATGGGCGGTGAGTTTTACGAGCGCGAACATATCCGCGACCATCAGCAGAAGGGCATCGCCCAAAAACGCGAAGTGCTTCATGTGGAAGCCATCCACACTAACCGAGGTATTCTCCTTGAATTGATTCGAAAACACACGTATGGCTTCCACAGGCACAGGGGGCAGGGGGGGGCCAGCTCGCCAACTTCGAACCATCTGCCGCCCACACCATCCCCCCACAACTTAGATAACTTGGTAGCCTCCGCCTTGAGGAGGGGGAGGGGGTCGGCCACAACCACCCCGTCCAGGGACAGGGTGGTAGTGGGAGTCCAAGGCGCGGCCCCTTTAGAGACCGCGTGAACGCGACGGCCCCCCCGATGCGCTTTGACGAGGAGCCACTCCCTCCATTCCTTGTTGGCGAGCGCCCTGGCCGACGCCTCCACCTCGGCCAGCACCGTTTGGAAGGCACCCACCAGATGGCCGAAAATGTCGAAAGCGGCCCCTCCCTGGCCTCGTACATCGGTAGCTCGCTAGTGAAGCCGCGCAGCGCAGCAAGAAAACTAGAGGCGGGCCCTTAGTGCCGCACAAACTGAGGCGGCGACTCCAAAGGGCACAGCACAGAATTGGTGCCCGCTTGGCTGCCCTCGGACCAGAAGCCCTCGAAGTTGCAAAACATGTTGGCCAACCAACGGCAGGCGAACAACTCCGAGTTTCCTTGAGACCTATTCTTACTCAATATGGGCCTCCAACACATCTGAGGGGGTTTGCCTCTAGTACCCCACGCGAGCAAGACCTTACCTTTGGCGGCGGACGCCTCGCGCTCGGCAGCATTCGCCCACAGCTTGTGCGCACGGTCAAGGGCATCCTGGGCACTGTCCCAGTCCCCTCGCCCGACAGCAACTCGAGCCGAATCCAGCGCGCCGTGGACCCTCGCAGGCGGGGCGCCGCCTCAACCACCATGGCGGGGGCCAAAGGGGTCGTGGGAAGAGGCGGCGGGCGCCGAAAGGCCGAAGCCTGGGGCCTGCCAAGCTTGGGGTGCAATCTAACTTGCGCAGGCGAATGCGGGGTGAGGCTGGTTTCACGGACGACCTGAACTTGGCTAACCAATTTAGCAACATCCGCAGAGGCAATACAAACATCGTATTGCTTGAGCCCTGCCGTCGACTTACATGTGTGTCCATCGGGAATCAAAAACTGGATTTCCTCCGACCTGGCCCCGGGACCTCCCGAGAGGAGCGTCTTCGGCTCCATGTTGAAATCCGCTCCCGAGAAAAAAGGGTAGCCCAGGGCCTGTCCCATGGACAGGCAAGAGCACAGCAGGTCAATATGTTCATCCGATAGGTCCTGACAGTCGTAAAAGTAGGCCGACAAGATGGCCAGCTGCACCTGCCCCAGGATGTCCACAATGCCCACGAGGGCCCGCCCAGCAGCAAACTGATGACCAGACGGAGGCGCAGACAGACCGAGACTCTCTCGCGCGAACAAATCTACTCCAGCAGAGGGGGCCACCGCCTCCTCCTGGTGCAGCCGCCACCCACAGGCTCTTCCACCCGTGGCGTCTCGCCCACGAGGACGCAGAAGCCAGCTGATGAGGCATCTGGGTGTGCTCCTGCATGACCACCACATCTGCCAGCGTCTTCTGCAGCCGCAGCTGTCCCGTTCCCCAGCCAGACACGTTACAAGTCTCAATCGTTGGTGCGAGCTGGTCCAGTGGGAACGCGCCAGCCTCCAGAGGCCGTAGCAATTGCTCCTGGGGCCTGGGAGAAACACCAGGCATAAGAGGCCCACGGAGCTCCTAAAACTTAGAAGAAGAGAAAGGGTCGCCACGAGCGAGGACCGACTTGGCCCTGGCCAACGTGCGACCGACAGCTTTCAAAAGCGCATTCCCCCAACAGATACGAGACAAGTCGGGTAAGGCGTCAGCCTGGGAGATCCACGCGAGGCGAGCCGAAAAATAAAAGCTGGGAGGCAGCACGGGCACAGGCGGTCGAGTGGGAACCCACTTCGACCTAAGAGCGCTCGCGACGCCTCCAGCTTCCTGACTTTGATTCTCGACACTGAGTGTAGCGCAACGTGGGGAGGAGACGGTTGACGCGCGGCGGGCCCCTGGACTTTCCTGGCGCGACGCATCTGAGTAGCCCGGGACCCCGCCGAACTGGCCCGAACGGGGGCCGGAAGTCAAATCGAAAAACTTAGACGTAGCACCAATTGCCTCATGCTCAGAGCTTAGAAGGCGACGGCTCGAACCCGACGATGTCCCAGCCGAAGAGGAACGCCACGTCAGTGAGGTCGAGCCCATGTCTCCGACGACGAGTGCGCCATGCATGCTGCCTCCCGCGGGGGGATCAAGAAGACCGAGCATCCCCCCCTCAGGCGGCACCTGCGGGGGGGACTGCATGTAACACTCTGCTGGCACGAGCGCGAACATCATCACGAGAAGCAGCGGCGGGTACACTTGCTCCCTCGGCGGACGTCGCGGTGGCGGCCGCTGCAGCCGCCCCGCCCCCGCCGGTGCTGGCGTCGGCGCCGCTGGTCTCTGGGGCACCACCGGCTGAGCCAGCTGCCCCTTCCACCAGGTAGGTCGCCGCCTGCTGCTGACTCCGCTGGCTCTCCATCAGTGCGGCGACGCTTGGCTTGCAGACGTTTGAGCTGCTCAGCCTGGGCCCCCTTGAAGGCCTTGGACTTCGCCGCCGCCTCTCCGAAGAGCTGTTTGACCGCAGCCTGGATGCCATCCTGCAACCGAGCCAGTTTCTTCCTCGCCTCGTCCTGGTCCTCAGCAGAGAACTCGTATTCCGACTCCACGGAAGGCAAGCTGTCCAGGCAGATGGGCAGCGTCTCGCCGTTGAGCAGGTCGTCGATGCTGAGCTTAGGCCGAGTTGAAGGCGGCTGCTGACATCCCGCAGAGACTTGAAGCTGGTTGTCGAGAGACTTGTGCTTCTCCTCAGCCGTCTGCAGCTCCTTGATGAGTGACAGCACGCGCCCCCGTTGGTCCTCCAGCTCGCCCTCCAACTTCTCGAAGACCGTGAGGCTCTTCCCGAGCTTGGTCTCCAAGGGGCGCATCTCGTTGAAGGCACGGTTGATCTGGTGCTCCAGGGGGGCGTTGACCTTGGCCTCGGCCTGACGACGCAGATGGCTGTCGAGCTCCTTCTGCCACTTCTCGGCTGCGTCTGGGTCTCCCATGCGGCGCAGACCGTCGACGAGTCCTCGCAGCTGGTCCATGTCCGAGAGCTCAGTGGTCGCCGACAGGGTGACACTCCCACCAGCCATGGACTGAGGGCCAGGGCGACGAGGCAATTGATCAGCATGAGAGGGGCCCGTGAGATCCCACGTCCACGTGCCAGGCGGCGCGGAACCTCCTGAGCCGCTTCCCCAGACGCCCTGTGGCTGGGGCCAGGGCTGGCTCATCCTCGGTGCAGAACGCCAAGGCCAGCAGTTCTTGCACTGAGACCAACCCTGCTTGTTCTTCCTGCATCCGCATGAGCTGCATGCCCATGAGGATCCTCGGGAGTGGGCATCCCGCTCGGTCCATCCGTCCGCGGCCGCTTGGTTCTGAGAACGCCACGGCCAGCCCGCGCTACCGCCCGCGCGAGCAGGGGCGGGGCGCTGGACAGAGGGAGGAGGCGCCATGGCGGCAGCTTTGACTGAAGGTGTGACGGTATCCTGTCAGATCGCTTGGCTCGCAGGAACGCGTGCCCTTCTGAAGAACGTCCTTGCAACGTTGCTCGAGCGCAGAAAGGGCTAGGAGGAGGAGGAGGAGGATGACGAGGACGAAGAGGATCATAAGAAAACAAGGATGGAGGAATAGGAGAAGGAGGGGGAGCAGGAGGAGGAGGATGAGAAGGAGGAGGAGGAGGAGGAGGAGGAGGAGGAGGACGAGGAACCAGAAATGACGGGGATGGTGTCAGAGGTGATTCTGATGGTTGTGTTCGTTCAACCAATGAATGCCTGATGGTAAACCACGAGGAGGATGAGGATCATGACGTGGATGCGGGAGAGAAGCACGGACCTTTTCGCGCTCCTCGTCTTCCTTTTGCCGCCGTTGCTCCTCCCTCTCCCGTCCTTCTTAATGTTGTTGTTCGCCCCCTCCCCCTGCCTGGCCGAGGTACTGCCGCGCCCACGACTCCAAGGACAGGAGGCCGAAGGTGCGGGCGAGGCTCAAGGCGTGCAAGCTGTGCAAGCACGAGGTGAACACCAACTGCGCCGACTTCGCGCTTTGCCCCAGCTGTTCGCAGAGGCACCACCAGTGCATGCTGTGCGCCGCCCCCGCGCCGGACTCGGACTCGCCGGACGCGGACCTCGCAGCGGGCTCCCCGATGAAGCCACCCCCGCCGCCGCCGCCGGTGGCATTCTCGGAGGAGGCCGCCGCCGCCGCGCAGGAGCTGGCGGTGCCCGGCCCCTGTGTGAGGAGGTACTGCCCCGCGCACGAGGCGCGCGAGAGGCGGCTGAAGGTCGAGCCCTGGCTGGGGCAGTGCCGCTCGTGCCTGGTCCGCGTCCAGACGAATTGCGCAGAGTTCTCCCTGTGCCAAGGTCTGCGACCGCTTGCGAACCCTACCCTTGCGGGCCTCAATCGACGCTGGTGTTTCGGGCACCCCCGCTAGGGAGGGGGGGGACTAGGGGGGGGGACAACGTGGCTGCAGACATCATTCAAATCCTGCGCCGCAGCCGGCTTTTTCAGAACTCTGACCTGCAGGCCAAGGGGTCCGATGCCTTGATTTTTTCGGCACGGGATCCCTGGAAGTCCCGACCCCTTCCCCACAGTCTGCTGTTCATCCTGAGTCGTTTTTTGACGGTCACGGGGCCCGGAGAGGGCCCCCCGAGGCCGAACACGAGTGAAAAACCTCCGACTGGACTTTTGTCAATACGTTGGAGGGCTAACTGGGGGGGAGGGTCACATGTGGTTGCCTACAAGGCTGCTCCGAGTCTCGCCACCGCTGCATGATCTGCGCCGCCAGCGTTGCCCCAGAGGGCCACGCGGCGCCGCCGCAGCCTGGTCTGGACGGGAGGGCTGCTGGGCAGCTGGCTCAGGAGCAGCTCGAGACCCCTTTCCCGAACGACAACATGATGAGGTCGGCTGCACGTAACCCTGAGATCCAGGCGTTGCATTCTTTGCGCACCACGAGTTGTCGCCCTGCCTCGGGCCCAGGGACTATCGTAGATCGATCCGGCTCGGAACATGGAGCAGAAAGATGGGGTCCAGGGTCTGGGGCTCCGGCCATGATTTATGTGCGATGCTGCATGCTTTACCGCAACGCCGGATGTCACGGTAACAGTGACCCTTCGCCAACGTGAACTTTGTGCGCGGCTTTCGCGGGATGCCGGGGGGCCAGGCCCAAGCGCACGCAGGGCGCCAGAGCGCTTCTGTCGCATCGCGCGCAGCGATCGGCAAGCCGCGCACCATCAGGTCACGCTTGCAGAACGGGTCACTCTCGCGTGTGGTCGACGAGGGTGCCCCTGCCGATGACGCCGGACGTGCCCCTGGCGTTTCTCGCCGCCGCTTGACCTTGATGCGAAGCACCGGCACGGCGGCGTGCGGCCAGGCTCTTCGGGCCGCGCGCACGGCAGGCCTGAAGTTGCGCCTCCTCTGTCCCCCTGTGCTCCACCCCCTCTCCTGGCTCGCGCTTGTGTCCCTCCTGGCTCACGACGATCTGTCTAGCGAAATTCGTGGGCGAGTGCCGCCACCCGAGCACCGCTCCCGCACGTGCTCTTGCCAGTGATTTGCATGTCTGATCTGGGATATCCACGGCACTCGGCCGTGCCACTCCTCTGGAGGCGTGGAGGTTGCTGGGCCCCCCCATTGCTCTCAGGGTGGGCGCCCCACCCCAGTGGTTATCATGGTGGGTGAATCCACCACCACTGGGTCTGCGTTAGAGGGGGATGCCAGGGAGGTGAGCGCGTTGCGGGGACAGAGCGAGGGTCTTCGCGCGCGCGTCCAAGCAGGAGCGACTGGGAGACGGGCGAACAGGAGAGAGGGATCTGCTGATAGACAACTGAAGGGAACGACTGAACAAGAGAGTGTTATATATATAGAGAGAGAGAGAGAGAGAGAAAAAAAAAAAAGAAACAAAAAAAAGAGTGAGAGAGAGAGAGAGGAAGAGAGAGAGAGGGAGACGCGGCGTCGCAGCTGGTCTGCCAGACCGTCCGACCGAGCCACCGAAGTGATCGGGAGAGGACGCGAATTGCAGACAAATGGGTGCACCTATACATGCTACGTGTGTATATATGCCACTGGCTGCGGAACGCCGCCTTTGAAGGCTTCTCCCTCGCTCCGGGCCAGCTGCGCTCGGGTGCTAATGCGATGATAGTTAGATGGGGCCCAGGAGTCTTTGTCCAGAGTCCTGGGACGGATGAGACAATGACCATTCTGGAATTTGTTTTCCCACTCGTTTTCATCGGATGCCGTCTGTGGGTGCAGTACGGTGTACCCCATGCTACTGCACGCATCATGTCTCCCTCCCCATACACCCCTCCTCCCCTCCGTGCCTTCTCGGGAAGAAGGGACGGCGAGGGGGAGAGGGAAGAGCAGCTGGGGCACCCGCGGGGGCTCGATGGCAAGCGCGCCTCACGCGGCCTCGGCCAGGGAGATTGGATTTTCTCCATGACGGCGGCGCGAGGGCGAATATAACCGAACCGCGCTTTGCGCAGCGCGAGGCGCGAAGTTGGGTGACTTGGGAGATGGGGACTGGCGGTTGGGGACAGCATCGCGCGTTGTCCCAGGCGGGGCGAGTTGTCCCTGGAGGGGTGCATGCACCGTTGAAGCAAAACGCAACTTGCATAGGCAAGCAGAAGATGCGATCCAGAATGCGCTTGCATGTGACATGCGGCATGGCGCATCTGTTCTGCGAGGGTGCCGGCGGTGCCGTCGCTGTGCAATCGCCTGTGAGAGGGGTGGCCAACAATCTCAGCCCCAGACAGACATGTGTGTTGACCCTGCCGGGATTTGTTGGCTCCAATCATTCATATCAGGTGCCCAGGGGGCGTGTGTCGGGGCCAGGACCGGGATAAGTCGTTCCAGAGCTTTCCGGAACACTCTCAGAGCGTTCTGGAGCGCTCTGGAACGGTCGCGGCGCCCCATACATCTTCCAGAACCGCCGCATATCAGAGATCCCCGATGTATCTCAGTCCTGTTCCTGTCCTAGGTTCGCCTTACGTCTGTGACTTACAGTGGCTGGGGCATCCGGAGGGCTGCTGTACCTGCGGCACTGGGCGGTGCAATCGGAGTCAGCAGCTGTGCCTGTGGGCGAGGCCCTGGGCGGTGTCCTCCGGGCGCGCAGGACAAATGCTCTGTGAGAATGGCGCCCAGATGCGTTTCTCGAGCAGGTGATCTCGGTAGATGTTGGGTTGGTAAGGCCTCGGGTTGCGCACAGACAGGCCCCCCCCGGGAAGAGCAGCCCCGGCTGGCCTCAACAGGCCCCCCGAGTAGTCCAGGGCGGTCTCAACACCTCGGCGCAGCCTCCGGCGTCGCCCCTGGGGCCCTCCGCGGCTGAGACCGCCCCAGTTTACTCGGGGGGTCTGTTCAGGCCAACCAGGACTAGTTTCCTGGGGGGGGCTGTGTGTGCGTGGCCCGAGGCCTTACCCTGGGTGAAGTAATGCAGTCAAGACGCTGGTGTAAGGAACAGTTCAGGGTCGGCTCGCTGTTCCTTACGGTGTGTCCGTCCATGGCTCTTCCTCCTGCGCCCCTCGTGCACCCAGGCGCTGCTGGGGCCAAGAAGGCACTCAATCAGCGTTCCTTGCTGTAGTGGCTTCACTGTACGGTCGGTAACTTTTTCTCGGCGAGTTGCGCCGCTGGTTCTGGCCTTCCACGCTTCGGCGCGACACGCTAATCCCGTCTCCGGTTCCGAACGTCAACGTCCCGGGCCCTTCCCAGCCTCCCGCCCCGCGGAGCGGATCGACACGCTATCCGCTCGCACGGCATAGCATGCCGCCGAGGCCGCCGCCACGAGACTCAAAGCAGCAGTTCTTGGTCGTAGCATAGTGGACAGACTCCTGGGCCCCACGGGCTGCGTTCGGGTGTTGATGCGGCTGGAGTTAGTCGCCTTAGGCTCCTGCGCGGTGCAGATGGCCTCCTTTGCAACCTGCATCGCGAGCCTCCTTGAAAAAGGCGCGCTGCGATGTACGCGAGAGGACGTGCTTGAACAACGGAGTGGGGATTTGGTGGTCCTCGGGTCGGACGAAAGGGGGGACATCAAAGGGGGGGTTTGCGACTTGGCTCACGTGGCTGGTTTCCCTGGGGACTCTCGGCGTCGGGGCGCCAATGTATCGAGGAAAGCGCCGGGCAGCCGACTTCCTAAACACCCCTTTCCCAATCACCAATCACCCTTTTTCGTCCGACCCGATTGTCTCGGGGAACCTGCGTTCCTGATCCGACGTGATCGCAGAGCTGACGGCAGTTACCCCCTCGCAGGCTTGGGCCGCTGCGCCCGGCTTGTCTTGGGGGCGGCTGCAGTCCAGCAGTTGTGACCGACCTTGCCACGATACTGGTATCAAGAGAGTCATCTGCAGCAGCATCTGCATTAGCACCATGGCCGTCATCGCCACAATCGTCATCATTAGCAGCATCGATTGTGTTGTTGCTGATGGCCAGCACCAGCGAAGGATTCGTAGGCACTCGGGTCTTCTTTGCTCGCGAGGGCGCGTTGCGGGATTGAAGGACCTCCGTGCGTGCTGCCTTTGCGCTGAATAAGGACTCTGTGCCTCAAGACTCTTTGCAGTTTGATTACGTATCTCAGCCCAGTCGTACGGGACTCAGAGGTCGTTGTGAGGGTCGGGGCTCCGATCCTTTTTTTCGAAATCAGAAGGGGGTCGAGACAATGAACAAGAGGATCGGAACGCACGCTATCGCCCTACGCGCCGGGCATTTACCACTAGACTCCCAGCCCAAGCATCCCGTGCCCTGGCGAACTGATTTACGATTTTGCCAGCACGCGATCGTCACCAGACCGAGGTCCTATGCACTTGCCCGATGCCATGTGTCTCAGGCCCTGTGTCTGGCGTTATAGACGCGCAAGCTCAATGCGCGAGGCTCTGTGGCCTACTCGCTGCACTTTCACAGCACACCGCTGATTCAGGAAACCTCGGATCCCCAAATGTTGCGCCTCGCGTTGCTTCCGCTGGCCTCCGCCCGCCTTCCGCTATTTCAAGTGCTTCGCCAGCCTCTTGCTGGCTTCGCCGAGGGCGAGACGCGCCGCATGCGAGACCTTGACTGGAACGCGCTACATCGATCCGTGTCCGCAGACCGCGAGCACGAGGTCTGACCTCAGCAGGGATTTTAGCATGGAGCTCCTGGGAGCTTGAATTCAGAATCCTCAGTTTGGCTAAATCCCAGTTAATCCGGCACAATCCCGTGCAATCCAGTCTTATCCCGCTCGATCCGGCTTATCCGGTCTAATCCGGATCAGCTGCCCCTTAACTCGGGCTTAATAGCCTGTAACCGTTCCGACGAAGGCCTCCTAGTAGTTGCCCCAGAAGGGATCACAGCATGTGCCCCGAACGCCGGGGATCTTGCGCGGACATTATCGCGGACATTGGCGCGTAGGCTGCCCGCGTAAGGTGGCGTGTCAGCACCATCCGTTTCCAGCGCTGCGTGCCGCGCTGGCGGCCCGCGCAAAGGCACCGCGTACGGTCGTTTCGCCATCTCGCGTAAGATCTCCTTGACCTCCGGGGCAGCAGCATGCGCCTCGAACGCCAGGCCTCCAGCCCAATGCCCACGAGCAGGGTCCGCTGACGCCGTTCCAGGAGCCCTCCATCCCGAGGCACCGGGGCACGCACCGGGTGCTCGTGCATGCAGGGGCGGCCAGGCCGCAGCAGGTCCGGAGATCTAGCGCCGCGGACAGTGCAACTCAGCGAAACAGAAAGGTCAGAGCCCTCGCGTCGTGAACCGCAGCTTGGTTTTTGTCAGCAGCGAGAGTGGACGCTAACGCATTCAGAGACCTGGCGGGCCGAGTTGGGCCACTGGCACGCTGGGACAGGTGGAAACGGGGAGTGCGGCCGCGAGAGGAAGCAGGGGTCGGGTGTTGCCAGAAGTGCCCCAAGTCCAGGGCGCCCCCAGGATTTCCAAGGAGGCCCCCGCGGCCTCCACAGCACCCCTCACGAGGTCCAGATGGCCACAGGGGCTCCAGGACTCAGCGAAGATCCGGGGGCACTTCGGGCCAGGGGCACCTGTAGCACCCCCCGGAGGGAAGAGGCCTCAGACGTCCAGAGTCTACGTTTTCATGATCGGCACACAGAAATCCGGCAACGAAGCACAGAGACATGTGCAAAACAGTATTATCCCGGCAAAGCAACCTAACAGCGATGTGTAGGAGCATATCTGGAACCATTCCCCTTAATATTCAGATGATAATCCAGTTGTAGAATTCTGCTGTTCTCGCAGTCGTAGTCGCATTCGCGATGACAGTCGCAGTGGCAACGGCAGTCGCAGTCAGTCAGCCTCAGCCTCAGCCTCAGCCTCAGCCTCAGCCTCAGCCTCAGCCTCAGCCTGCCTCAGCTCAGCCTGCCTCAGCCTCAGCCTCAGCCTCAGCCTCAGTCTGCCTTCAGCCTCGGCCTCAGCCTCAGCCTGCCTCAGCCTCACCCTGCATCAGCCTCAGCCTCAGCCTCAGCCTGCCTCAGTATCAGCCTGCCTCAGCCTCAGCCTCAGCCTGCCTCAGCCTCAGCCTCAGCTGCTTCAGCCTCAGCCTCAGTCTGCCTTCAGCCTCGGCCTCAGCCTCAGCCTGCCTCAGCCTCAGCCTGCATCAGCCTCAGCCTCAGCCTCAGCCTGCCTCAGCATCAGCCTGCCTCAGCCTCAGCCTCAGCCTGCCTCAGCCTCAGCCTCAGCCTGCTTCAGCCTCAGCCTCAGTCTGCCTTCAGCCTCGGCCTCAGCCTCAGCCTGCCTCAGCCTCAGCCTGCATCAGCCTCAGCCTCAGCCTCAGCCTGCCTCAGCTCAGCCTGCTCAGCCTCAGCCTCAGCCTGCCTCAGCCTCAGCCTCAGTCTGCTTCAGCCTCAGCCTCATCTGCCTTCAGCCTCGGCCTCAGCCTCAGCCTGCCTCAGCCTCAGCCTGCATCAGCCTCAGCCTCAGCCTCAGCCTGCTCAGCATCAGCCTGCCTCAGCCTCAGCCTCAGCCTGCCTCAGCCTCAGCCTCAGCCTGCTTCAGCCTCAGCCTCAGTCTGCCTTCAGCCTCAGCCTGCCTCAGCCTGCCTCAGCCTCAGCCTGCATCAGCCTCAGCCTCAGCCTCAGCCTCAGCCTCAGCCTGCCTCAGCATCAGCCTGCCTCAGCCTCAGCCTCAGCCTCAGCCTCAGCCTGCCTCAGCCTCAGCCTCAGCCTGCTTCAGCCTCAGCCTCAGTCTGCCTTCAGCCTCAGGCTCAGCCTCAGCCTGCATCAGCCTCAGCCTCAGCCTCAGCCTGCCTCAGCATCAGCCTGCCTCAGCCTCAGCCTCAGCCTGCCTCAGCCTCAGCCTCAGCCTGCTTCAGCCTCAGCCTCAGTCTGCCTTCAGCCTCGGCCTCAGCCTCAGCCTGCCTCAGCCTCAGCCTGCATCAGCCTCAGCCTCAGCCTCAGCCTGCCTCAGCATCAGCCTGCCTCAGCCTCAGCCTCAGCCTGCCTCAGCCTCAGCCTCAGCCTGCTTCAGCCTCAGCCTCAGTCTGCCTCAGCCTTCAGCCTGCCTCAGCCTCAGCCTCATCAGCCTCAGCCTCAGCCTCAGCCTGCCTCAGCCTCAGCCTGCCTCAGCCTCAGCCTCAGCCTGCTTCAGCCTCAGCCTCAGTCTGCCTTCAGCCTCGGCCTCAGCCTCAGCCTGCCTCAGCCTCAGCCTGCCTTCAGCCTCAGCCTCAGCCTCAGCCTCAGCCTGCCTCAGCATCAGCCTGCCTCAGCCTCAGCCTCAGCCTGCCTCAGCCTCAGCCTCAGCCTGCTTCAGCCTCCTCAGCCTCAGTCTGCCTTCAGCCTCGGCCTCAGCCTCAGCCTGCCTCAGCCTCAGCCTGCATCAGCCTCAGCCTCAGCCTCAGCCTGCAGCTCAGCCTCAGCCTCAGCCTCAGCCTGCCTCAGCCTCAGCCTCAGCCTGCCTCAGCCTCAGCCTCAGTCAGCCTCAGCCTCAGCCTCGCCTCAGCCTCAGCCTCAGCCTGCCTCAGCCTCAGCCTCAGCCTCAGCCTCAGCCTCAGCCTCAGCCTCAGCCTCAGCCTCAGCCTCAGCCTCAGCCTCAGCCTCAGCCTCAGCCTCAGCCTCAGCCTCAGCCTCAGCCTCAGCCTCAGCCTCAGCCTCAGCCTCAGCCTCAGCCTGCCTCAGCCTCAGCCGGCCTCAGCCTCAGCCTGCCTCAGCCTCAGCCTGCATCAGCCTCAGCCTCAGCCTCAGCCTCCATCAGCCTCAGCCTCAGCCTCAGCCTCAGCCTGCCTCAGCCTCAGCCTCAGCCAGCTTCAGCCTCAGCCTCAGCCTCGGCCTCAGCCTCAGCCTCAGCCTGCCTCAGCCTCAGCCTGCCTCAGCCTCAGCCTCAGCCTGCCTCAGCCTCAGCCTCAGCCTGCTTCAGCCTCAGCCTCAGTCTGCCTTCAGCCTCGGCCTCAGCCTCAGCCTGCCTCAGCCTCAGCCTGCCTCAGCCTCAGCATCAGCCTGCCTCAGCATTCAACATGTGGCCCGGGAATGGAGTTCTGGGAACTCGAAGAACACGAAGTGGCCTACAGTTGGCTCCGGGCATTCAAAATCATGCCCGGGAATGGAGTCTGGGAGCTCGAAGAACACGAAGTGGCCTACAGTTGGCTCCGGGCATTCAGAATCATGCCCAGGAATGGAGTTCTGGGAACTCGAAGACCACGAAGTGGCCTACAGTTGGCTCCGGGCATTCAAAATCATGCCCAGGAATGGAGTTCTGGGAACTCGAAGACCACGAAGTGGCCTATAGTTGGCTCCGGGCATTCAAAATCATGCCCAGGAATGGAGTTTTGGGAACTCGAAGACCACGAAGTGCGTTACTGTTGGCTAAAAAAAGAGTCCCCGGCATCCTCCCCCGGATCGCGCCCAGACCCCCCTGGGGCGTCATGATGCTCTCTTTTGACCCTACTAGAAACCTATCAGTCTTCGCTGTTAGGTAACCAAACAGCGCAGACTTCAAATTGATCAGGCGACCGACTCGAAGTGGACTGACGTAGACTCGACTGGACTCTTCTTTCTACTTTAGTTT